GTAAGGATTTAGTTCTCTAGGTAATAGTCCTTAAACTCCTAGTTAAGATAGCTCTTATAGCTGTCTAAGATAAGCAACCTGTATACTCCTACCTAATGCGTCTTTGTATGCGTGTTAAAGTGCTTTAACTACTTAAGGCTAAGCATATTATTTATCTAACTATTCTTAGAGACTAAGAGCTTCTAATTGTAGGGTATATCTGTCTCCTTATACTAGGCAGAGATGTAGACGCGTCCTTTGTAGATAATAAAAGGTGGGGTTGCATACCTAGCAGCGCAGATGCTCTAGATAACAGTAACCTACTTGCAATTGCCTGGCTAAACAAGCTCTAGCTGAGCACATCTCTCTAAGCCTGTTACAACCTTTAAAGACAAAGTAACACCTATCTAGAACCTAGTTTTATTAAAGTTATGTATGTTATTATTACAAATAACGTGGTTTATCAACGAGCCGCCAGGTATCACCGAACTGCCACCCCTTGCCAATTTTGCGACTGTTATAATAATTATTACAATGCCATTACAACACAACACGCAATCACCCTATAACAAAGGTACACTATACCTTGCTATCTAAGCTACAAAAGCTACTATGCCTAATAGTATAAATTACGCGTCTAAGGCCTTTAGTGTTCCCTAATTAATATTAAGAGACTAACGCGCAGGAGGACTTACATAACGCAATTATAAGGCTAATTTAAAGAAGCTAACAAAGGTAGAAGAGGAGGTAATAGTTAACTGTATACTTAAGCTAGACAGGCAAGGAATAGGCGCAATAAAGACTATAGTGCAAGATATAGCTAATAATCTGCTTGCTGCATGTGGTGAAGGACCTGTTAGCAAGCTCTAGGTAAACAGGTTTAACACACATACCTAACAAATTAAGCTTTAACGTAGCTAACTATACAATTATTAATAAGCCCTAAATAAAGATACACGCGTTATAACGCCCTAGTTTAAGCTAGTTAGGAATACAAAGGAGAAGTATAGAATCCTAGATAGAGATACCTACAACTTTAATAAGACTAGGTTTATAATAGGTATAATTAGGTCTAAGATAGTGTTTACAGGCTTAGAGAAGCAATCTAACCCTAAGAATATCTAGCCTAGCAATTAGGAGTAGGTCACAATCATTATTAGTGTCTGCGCTGCTAGCTAGGCTATCCTACCCTTTATTATCTTCTAAGGCAAGGTCCTAATTACAACCTAGTACCCTAATCTACCTTACAATTAGGTAATTATAACTAGCAAGAATAGCTAGATAATAAACAAGCTTAGTCTAGAGTAGTTAAAGCACTTTAACATATCTATAAAAGAGCGTACTATTAGCACCTACTGTCTACTTATTATTAATAGCTATAAGAGCTATAACTCTGTAGAGTTTAAGGAATACTGCATAGAATATAAGATTATTACCTTGTGTATACCCCTATACTTATTGCACCTATTGCAGCTGCTTAATGTAGCCTATTTTAGCCCCTTAAAGAGGGCATACTTAATTAAGGTTAACGCCTAGTTACAATACTTTAAGATATAAATTAAGAAAGAGTTCTTCCTTACTAGCTTCTAGACAGCCTATTACAAGGCTATTACAAAAGACAATATCTATAGAGGCTTTAAGAGCGCAGGACTAGTTCCTTTTAACCTAGAGCAAGTGCTATTAAAGCTTAATGTGGTCCTTCGCACGCCAACACCACCACCACTAGAGACTACCCTATAGGAATCTAAAACACTAACCAGCGCAAAGGAGGTTAAGTCACAAACGTTGTATATCTATAAGCGCATGCAATTGCACAGAGATTCGCCCCTATCTCCTATTATGAAATCACTTAACTTGCTTGCTAGAGGGGTTGCGCAGATAGACTATGCCAACATGTTGCAGAGAAGGGAAATAGATAGCATAAAGAAGGCTATTAAGGCTCTAACAGCGCAGCGTGGTTGTAAAAGAAAGTATATCTAGACAGAGGAGGCTCTCACAGTTAGTGAGGTACAGGATATAATAGCTAAGAAGGACAGTGGTGGTAGTAAGGCATCTAAATAGTCTAGGAAGAAGGTGTGCAAAGAGAGGCACTACAGACGTTGTAGCAAGACTAGCCACAATTTGCGCACCTGCACTGCAGAAATATTAGATGTAGATAATAGCGCTGCTTCTAAAGAGTAATTATAGCAATTATAAGTATTAGTATAGTGTTGTAGTTAAGCGTAATAGTTGTGTAATAGTTAGTAACTCTAAAAAAGTTGGTAAGGGGTGGCGGTTTGGTGATACCTGGCGGCTTGGTGATAAACCACGTTACTATAATTAATATAAGTATCCTCTACTAGCTTAAACTATATACTAATTATCTTAGGATTTTCCTATAGTATCCTCTGTCTATCCTTAGCTTAATTAAAGGCTATTTTAAGCTTATCTAAACGCGTCAAAAGCCTGCTAGCCTATAGTTTGCTAACAGGCTCTTCACTACGCACACTAAGTATCTTATTAGCTATATCTGCCACCTTATATAGCTAGGGCGTAAATCCTTGTAAGTTAAGATTAATTATATACTAGACAATTGTCTACTCCTCTAGTATAGTAAGTTTCTAGCAATTAGTATATAACGT